GGGCGCCGAGGGCCGCTCGGAGGCCGAGCGCCTCTTCCTGCACATGGGCCGCACCATGAAGGAGGACCTGGAGGCCGTGGTGGAGCGGCTGAAGCCGCTCTTCCCCGCCGAGCTGGACGTGGTGGCCGCCTACGCCGAGAGCTACCACGAGCACTTCGCGGCCCAGCTGGCGGCCGTGGCGCAGTTCGAGCTGTGTGAGCGCGACACCTACATGCTGCTGGTCTGGGTGCAGAACCTCTACCCCAAGTGAGTGGGCGCCGCGCTGCCGGAGGCTGGGAGCCTCGGGAGCAGGGCCTGCGCTCCGTGGGCTTTGCACTGGGAATCCTTGATTTCCTGGCTTCAGCCACGATCTACAGTTGGGGAAGCCGAGGCACGGGGAATGGCGGGGACTTCATCATTCATGCCTGAGCTCCCAGTCTGAGGAGCGGGGTGAGGCGGTGACCATCCAGAGCAGGGAGGGCGGTGGCAGAGGAGACCAGGGACTGTGGGAGCCACCAGCAGGGGCCCTGAGCAGCCTGAGTCGATTGAGGAAGCCATCCCTGAGGTGGTGGAGGAGGAGGAGGGAAGGAGGAGGAACCAAATTCTGCCTGCTGCTGGAAGGAAGAGAGGCAGGCAGGGGAGGGGAGAGGGCAGGCCTGGAAGAAGGTGGAGGGAGGGTGGTGTTCCCGACCAAGGGAGTCATCTTCGGCTGCCCGGGCTGAGCCCTGAGACTTCCTGGGAGTTGTGCAGAGCTGGCCAGTGTTTGGATTTACCTGGCAGGCTATGGGGGCGCTCCGGGCAGCACAGGGAATAGACGCAGAGCAGGGCCATGTGGCCATTGTGCAGGGTCACCCGGTGAGCCCACGGCAGAACTCGGTTCTGGTCCCCGAGGCTCAGAGCTCCTTGGGTGGGAGGCCGGCTCTGAGCAGAGTGCCTCAGGTACCCTCTGATTTACCGGGACTCCCTGGAATCCTGAGCACATCTGTCATTTGTCCAAGCTGGGTGAGGAGTGCAGTGCTGGGTGGGAATGCCCAGGGCATGGGAGGCCGGGGCTTCCTGTGGGGGCTAACTCTGGCCCCCAGGGTAAAGCCTGCAGGAAGCCTGGACGTGTGTGAGCAGTGACTGAGGGTCTCGGGGACACATCTGGGTGGCCGGTGGTCTCGGGGGGTGCCAGTGGCTCAGCCTCCAGCGGGGGGCCAGAGGAAGGGTGCCGTGGGGGTGGTGGGTGAGTCAGCAGGGCATAGGGAAATTGGCATAGGGCAGGGATGGCGGGCTAGACAGGCCAGTCGTGAACCAGTTTCTCCTTGCTTATCCTGACTCACCAGGAAATACTGGGCATTTGCACCTCAGCCTTCCTGTCCCAGTGACCTCAGGGCTTTTGGCCTGGGGCCCACTGGGGTCAGCACGGCAGGAAACTGAGGCCAGCAGGGCAGAGCCCTGGGGAGAGGGAGTGCAGGGGGCTGCCGTTGAGGACTGTGTGGCCAGAGTGGCCAGAAGACAGGGAGCACAGGGTCCCAGCCACATCCAGGCTGGGAGAGGGGTGAGAGGGCGGTTCTTGAGTGTCCGGGCAGACAAAGGCCCCTGAGGAAGTGCCAGGGAGGGCTGGACGGTCCCTGGGGCTCCCGGATCCCACACAGGCGCCACGAGAGTGAGTGGAGTAGCTGGGGTGGGGCAGCCCTTCCTGCCTGCACCGACCCGCCCTCGGGGGGCAGCAGGGCCGGCCTGGGGGTGCTGGTCCCGGGCTGGCAGGATTCCCAAGGCCAGCAGGCCTGGAGTGCAGTGAGGGAATGAGGTGGGGGGGGGGGGCTGGAGAGCGAGCGGCCGGTCTGCAGCCGAAGGAGCCGTTTTGTATCTGTGTGAGCTGGAGGCCTTGTGGCAGGGAGGGGGCCAGACTCCAAAGTCGTGCTTGCTGGGCGGAGGAGGGACTGCTGGGGCCCAGGAGGCTGGAGAGCAGGCCCCTGCAGCCAGCCAGGCGAGAGATGATGGTGGTGGTTAGGGCCTCGGGCAGGGTGACTTGAGGCTGATCTGCTTCAGTAGGAGTGGATGGGGGGGAATGAGTCAGAGCAGGCATGAAGATTCCAAGGTTTCTGACCCAAACCCAACTGCACAGACCGGGGACCCATCCTCTGAGCTGGAGAAGCAGGGATGGGGGAGGGCGATCAAATTCTGGGCCTGCGGGAGACCGAGGCTGAGAAGGTGGGCTCTTGCATGAGTGCTGGTGCTAAGTGGGTGCAGTCTTTCTCATGCTAGCCCCCCTCTGCCTGCAGTGACATCATCAACAGCCCCAAGCTGGGGGGAGAGCTGCAGAGAGTCCAGCTTGGGAGCCTTCTGCCCCCCAGGCAGATCCGGCTGCTGGAGGCCACGTTCTTGTCCAATGAGGTGGTGAGTCCAGCGCCAGGGACCGGGGCCAGGGCAGGGCAGGAAGGAAGCTAGGGGAGGCTCGAAGACAGGTGGGACGCAGGCAAGGAGCTTGACAGGGACTCCCACGTGGGCCCGGCCGATGGGCTCTGTGCTGCCCTGACCTGCCTCTCCTGCCCCCAGGCCAGTGTGAGGGAGCTGATGGCCCGGGCCCTGGAGCTGGAGTCACAACGCTGGGCCCGGGATGTGGCTCCCCAGAGGCTGGACGGCCATTGCCACAGCGAGCTGGCCATCGACGTCATCCAGGTAACACAGCCCGCCCGCTGGGCTCTCGCACAGCCCACGCCTACCCCATGTGTGTGCATACACGTGCCCACTCTGAGCACCGCCCTCCCCTTGTGCCGGCCTACCCCCTCTCTCTCCCCCATCTCAGCTCACCCCTCACCCTTGCAGATCATCTCCCAGGGCCAGGCCAAGGCCGAGAGCATCACCCTTGACCTGGGCGTGCAGATAAAGCACCTGCTGCTGCTGGAGTTGGCTACATTCCTGAGGAGGTGGGTGTGCGCCTGCCTGTGCCGGGGAGGGGGACCTGGTCCCTATAGCCACTTCTCTCAGAGCCACCTGCGCTCCGTGTCCCACTTGGGTATCCAAGCCAGATCAGCGTCCCCTTCCTGCCTCTGGGGTGTCTGTCATTATGAGCAGGAGTCCTCCCCCCACCCCCCCCAAACCTCCCACCTGAGCCCTGAGAGCCTCAGGTGATCAGACGGCTGAGCAGGAAGCCCTTAACACTGCAGCCTCCAGCTGCGAAAAGGATGCCCCAGGAGGGACTGAGGCCCTGGCCTCCCTTCTGCGGTACCCCGGGTCTCCAGCCCTGCATTTCTCTTGGCTGCCTCCCTCCCTGCCTCTGAGGACTCCTCCATGTACCCCTTGCCTTCACCCCCCCGCCCCCGTCTTCCAGCTATAGAAGGATCTGGGGGGAAGGAGTGGGGCCGCAGGAGCTCTGCAGGGGCCTTGGCCCCACTGGCCTTGGTCTGCAAAGCCAGTTACTGATGTTCAGGGGCTAGCAGCCCCTCCCCGGGGGCCGTAGGGAGCCTGTCAACCTGACACGAGCTCTGTAAGCCCAGGGGGCCTGGGGGGCAGGCCGGAGGCTGCTATTGTCCCAGTGTTTGTGCTGATCCTTGCATGTGCCCCTTCCGGTTTCACCAGCTACCAGCGAGCCTTTGATGAATTTCTGGAGAGATGCAGACAGCTGGGAAATTACAGGGCCAATGTCATTGCCAACATCAACAACTGCTTGTCCCTCCGGTAAGGGGGTAAGGGCACTAGGAGGGGTTTGTGGGAGCGGGAATTGGGAATCGCCGGGCCTGCTGGGCTGTTGGAGGAAGAGGATGGCTGGGAGGGGGAGGGGAGGCCCGTGGGTGCGGTGTGCGGTGGGAGGCACAGCATGAGCAAAGCTGTGGGATTACAATGGGCACGGCTGTGAGGAGATGGCCGGGGTCTGTAGGGGCGGCAGCAGCAGCAGGCATTTATCAAGTGCTGCTGGGTCAAGCATCATGCGAAGGATTTATTCCTTATTTCATGCTTGTAACACCCCTCAGGAACAGATGCGGGGTTGTGTCTGTTGGGCGGATGTGGATGAGGAGCACGTAGTGCAGGTGTTCCCTGCGGGTGAGCAGGCTAGGTGCTGCCTCCGGAGCAGGGATGGGATGGTCCGGACTTGCTTCCACAGGGAGTGGGGAGTCACGGAGGCTTGTAGAGTGAAGAGATGGTTTAGGAAGGTTTGCCTAGGGCCAGTAGGCTCTCTGGGTCGGGGACTGTAGTCTGGACAGGGCTGGTCTTACCTCCCTGCCCCATCCGTGTCCTTCCAGGACCTCCATGGAGCAGAAGTGGCAGACACCACAGGACCTCCCGGGCCACCTGCTGAGCCCCCTGAGTGAGCTCAAGAGTCACGGCTTCGACACCCTGCTCCAGCGCCTGCTCGGGGACCTGAAGGTACCGGAGCCTGACTCCCTGGAGTGCCTGCTGAGCTTAGCTTTGGGGCGACGCAGAGAGGGACCAGGAGGGGAGGAATGGCAGAAGCAGGAACCCAGACGTGTGTGGCCAGCTGTCGTGAGGCCTGTGCCACCACAGTGATGGGGGCCACGAGGGCTTGTGACCTCATCCCCAGCACTTCAGCCTGGGCTTGGCCTCAGAGGGGCCCCTTGGGCTGGGAACCCGCAGAGAAGTGTTAGTGCCTCTCCCCGCTCTGAGACTCAACCCAGCCCTGAGCCTCTGTGCTCCTTCCCCAGCTCCCCCAGACCCTCCTGCCTGCGCCCTGTCCCCATGCCTTCCTCCCAGCAGGGATGCTCAGAGCCTCTGGCAGCCGCTGCCCCACCTGCTGTGGGCCAAGAAGTCCACAGAAACCCCTTGGCTCCCTTAGCAGAGGGTGAAGCAGGGGTCCCTGAAAGAAAGAGGACGAGGAGTTGCCTGCCTGTTTTCCGCGGGAGCCCGCCTTGTCCCTGCTGCCCAAGGCGGAAGGCCGTGGGTAGCCAGCCGGGGGTGAAGGCCGGGCGGTGACCCTGGATGACTTGGCACGCGTCCTCACAGGCCCCGCCAAGCACAAGTCCTTGTTTATGCAGGAATTTATTTATTTCAGAGGGGGGCGGTGGAAAAGGCCTCACGGCAGGCAGATGGCCGGCTTGGCTCCAGAGCTGCAGCTGGTTGACCTTGGAGAAGGGGCCAGGGACCCTGTCTCCACTTCCTGTCTGGGAACAGGGCCCCGAGTTCCGCCCAAGTTCCCTGGGAGTCCTCGAGCCCCCGCCCCTGCGCTGGGCCGCGAGTGTCGCTGTGCGTGGGTCTGCGGCCGGCGGGCCTTCCTCCGCAGGGCGTGACCAGACATCCTGCCTCTCTCCTGTCGCAGCCGCTGTTCAAGAGGTTCACGCAGACCCGCTGGGCGGCCCCGGCGCAGACCCTGGAAGAAATTCTCTCCACCGTGGCCAAAAGGCTGCCCGAGTTCTCGGAACTGCACGACTGCTTCCGGGAGGTGAGCAGGCGCTGGGCCGGTGGCTGGGCCTGGCGGGGCCTGGCGGGGGCGCGGGGGGCGGGGGGCGGTCTGGACACACGCCCTAGCACGTGTGCGCGGCGCGCACACACAGCACACGGATGCACCCGGCCCCGCCCGGACTCCTGGCTCCGAGGCCTGGAGGGACACTGGGGAGCTCCCCGCCCGCGGCGGCTCACCCAGCCCTGCCGGCCCGCCCCGCCAGGAGCTCGCGGAGGTCATCCACCTGCACCTGGTGAAGGAATACATCATCCGCCTCAGCAAGAGCAGCCTAGTGCTCAAGACGGCCGAGCAGCAGCAGCAGCTGGCCGAGCACATCCTGGCCAACGCCGACGTCATCCAGCGCTTCTGCACCCAGAACGTACGTAACGTATATACCGTACGTCCGCTCCTGCCTGCCCCTCCCCCAAGTCCTGCGGGGCCAGGACCGCCGCCGGGCCTCCCCAGCCCTGACCGGTCCGACCTGAACTCTGGGCCCCCGGGGGCCCTTCGGGGAAGGGGTGGCCCGCCTCCAGCCAGACCTATGCCTGCAGGGCTCCTCAGCGACCTGGCTGCAGCACGCCCTCCCCAAGCTCGCCGAGGTCATTCGCCTGCAAGACCCCAGTGCCATCAAGATCGAGGTGGCCACTTATGCTACCTGGTACCCCGACTTCAGGTGAGAGCAAGGGCACCACGGGCCGGGGCCGTCCGCAAGGCCCTGCTGGCGCTGGTCAGAGCCTGGTGGGGCTGGACTCAGGACTTCAGGGCCACTAGAGCTGATACGGGCCTCCACGCCGCCGTCCCAGCACTTAACCCTTGCGGAGTGCTGGCCGAGTGCCGGACACGGTGCTAAGATGTTACAGTGGCTCATTCACTGGAACCTCACTACAGCCTTATGAAGGAGAGGCTTTCCATCCCCATTCCCCAGAGGAGGCCTGGAGAGCTTGAGGAACTTGTCCGAGGTGACACAGCTAGCCAGGGGTGAAGCCAAGATGGAAAAGCCAGGTAGTCTGGCTCTACAGTCCACACTTTTAGCCTGATACGATACTGCCCCCCTTAGAGGGGAAACTGAGACCAGAGAGACTAGGGACCTGCTAGAAGCCATGCTAAGCTAGGATCCAGCCCTGGGGTCAGAGTGGAGGCTTACCCCCCAGCCCTCTGAGGATCTGGGGAGCTAGGGCAATTGTTTTTCAAGGCTGAGTCCTCTGACATGGTAGGGAAAGTTTGAACAGTCTTGATTTGGATTGCTCAGCCTAGTCCAGCCTAGTCTAGCCTCTGGTTGATCCACTCCATCCATCTACCTGCCTAGCTACTTATTTACACACTCATCCATTCATCCATCTACTCATACAAACACCCATCTACCCATCTACTCATCTCCCCATCCATGTAGCTATCCATCCATCTGCTCACCCACCCTTCCACCTATCTATCCAAACATCTGTCTACCCATCTACCCATCCACCCACTCATCCATCCATCCATCCATCCATTCACCTACCTATTCATCTACCCATATACCCATCCATTCATTCATCCATCCACCCATCCATCTACCCACCCACCAACCTATCCATCCACTCATCTATCTACCCACCCATCCACCCACCCATATAAAAAATCCATCTACTCGTTTACCCTCCACGTAGCTATCCATCCATCTGTTCACCCACCCTTCTACCTATCTACCCAACCATCTATCTACCCATCCACCCACTCATTCATCCAGCCATCCATCCATTCACCTGCCTATTCATACATCCATCTACCCATCCATCCATTCATCCATCTACCCATCCATCTATCCACCTACCCACTTATCCATCCACTCATCCATCCTCCAGCCAGCCAGCCAGCCAGCCAGCCAGCCATCCTACCAATTATTGAGTGGTTTCCTGTTAAGTGCCGGGCTCTGTTCTAGGTACTGGGATGCAATGAAGTATAAGACAGACCAGGTAGCGGCGACTGGGTGGCTCAGTCGTTAAGCGTCTGCCTTCGACTCAGGTCCTGATCCCAGGGTCCTGGGATCGAGCCCCGCATCGGGCTCCCTGCTCCGCAGGAAGCCTGCTTCTCCCTCTCCCACTTCCCCTGCTTGTGTTCCCTCTCTTGCTGCGTTTCTCTGTCAAATAAATAAATAAAATCTTAAAAAAAAAAAACAGACAGGGGCGCCTGGGTGGCTCAGTCGTTAAGCGTCTGCCTTCGGCTCAGGTCATGAGCCCAGGGTCCTGGGATCGAGTCCCACATCGGACTCCCTGCTCGGCAGGAAGCCTGCTTCTCGCTGTCCCACTCCCCCTGCTTGTGTTCCTGCTCTCGCTATCTCTCTCTCTGTCAAATAAATAAATAAAAAAAAATCTTTAAAAAAAAAAAAACAAAACAGACAGACCAGGTCTCAGTCCTCCCTTGTGTAGCTTACAATCTAATGCAGGTTAGTAATAATGAGGTAATCAGGCAAAGAAATACAGTTATGATCTGTAAAGATTGTTTAACCAAGGTTGTGAATGACAGGAGGTGCTGACTTTAGAGATGGGAAATCTTGGGGGAGGTGACATTTTCCCTGAGGCCCAAAGTGTGAGAAGGAGCTGCTCATCTCCAGGGTGTGGGAAAGAACATTTCAGGAGGAACAGCCAGTGCAAAGACCTGAGGCCGGCAGGAGTTTAGTGCACGCTAGGGAAGGACAGGTGTCTGGGGCTGGTGGAGCACAATGGGCAAAGGAGACAGTGACCCCCTCGTGGGCAGGGGCTTGGCTGCAGGGCCCTGTGGCTTGGGCCAGGAGTCTGGGGAGCTGGGAAGAAGTGTGAGTAGGGGTGTTGGTGACTAGGCTGGACTGACAGAATGCTCTCCTTGCCAGCAAAGGCCACCTGAGTGCCATCTTGGCCATCAAGGGAAACCTGTCCAGCAGCGAGGTCAGGAGCATCCGAAGCATCCTGGACGTCAGCACGGGAATGCACCAGTCTTCCAAGCCCCTATTTTCACTTATAAAGGTCGGTTAGCTTTCCCTGCAGCCTGGCCTGCTTGTGAGCACCCAGTGAGCATCGGACACCACCCCCCTTGGTGGGCAACCACTCCACTCCACGGCCCCTCAACAGGCTTCGTGCCTACTGCTGCGGCTTCTGCCCAGCCTCGGCTAAGGCGCAAGCCCCTGGGCGGCTGGAATCGGATAGGACCGGTTTACGTGCCCGTCCCGTGCGGGCGGGAGCGCCCATTGTGGGGAGGCAGTGAGGTAATCCCCAAGAGACTCTTTGTAAATGACGGTTGATCATGCATGTACCAATGGAGGGAGCTGGGAGGGAGAGTGGCCAGGGTCAGAGATCCTGGGTCACCTCCGGTCCGTGGGGCCCCTCCACAGTCTATCATAACTGTCCTCCTCATGGCTGGGTCTGAGCGCCTTCCCAGCTGCCGAGGGCCAGGGGCTGAGCCTCGCCTATCCCGCCTCCTCTGGCCCAGGACTACGGTGAGTGGGGCTCAGCATGTCCGTGGAAGCGAAGGCAGAGCTAGAAAACAAAGGAAACAGTGAACTCCCATCTGGGCCCTGGACATCCTGGGTCTTCCATGTAGGGATAGGCCCGGTGTGGGGGGGCGGGGGTGCTCCGTGGGGCCGCTGCCTGGAAGTCAGCCTGAGGTCTGGGCGGGGCACGCTTGACCTCTGACCCCTTGGCCTCTGGACCAGCGCCCTGTTGCTGTTGTAACACATTTCCACAGACATGGTCATTGAAACCAGAACCTACCTTTCAGCTCTGGGGGGTCAGAAGTCTGACACAGGTCTCAAGGGCTAAAGCCAAGGTGTCAGCAGGAAGATTCTGGGGGGAATTTCCTTGCTTCTCCCAGTTTTTAGAGGCTGCCTGTATTCCCTGGCCTGTGGCTCCCTCCATCTTCAAAGCCAGCAGTGGCCAGTCAAATCCTTTTCACATCACAGACCTCAGATCTCCTCTCCTGCCCCTGCTTCCACTTTTAAGGACCCTTTTGATGACCTTTGGCCCACCATATAACCCAGGATCAGCCCCTATTTTAAAGTTAGCTGATTAACAGCCTTACCCCACCTGCAGCCTCAGCCCCCTTTGCCACAGACCCTGACGTAATCACAGGTTCCAGGTGTTAGGATGTGGGCTTCCCGGCGTGGGAGACATGATTTTGCCCCCTCCATGCACGCCCATCCTCCCCCTGCCCTGGACGGTGCCTTATCCCACGCCGGGGAAAACATGGCTCCGGGAATGCTCCTAGGCCTCTGCCGATCCCCGAGGCCCGCTCAGCTTGAGAGGGCGCAAGTCAGACGCAGGCAGGACTCAGCCTCATGCCTCTGAGCGTGCTGAGGTGGGGTCTGGAGCCGGAACCCTTGGGTTTGTCCCCCTCTCTCCAGGTACTGTGGCCAGGAACTGGCCCATGTAAATGGTGCACAAGGGCTTTTGTACATTTGTAGGAGTTAGTGTGTTTGATGTTGTTAATATTATTTTTGATAGCACTGCTTTTGAATGTATGTATTCAGGACAGGGTGCGAGTTTTTATAGCTTAATATAAACCTGATTTCAAAAGTGGCTTAGAGTGATTCATTTTGGGAGCCAGAAGGGGCAGCGGTGGCTTTCCCAGCCTCCTGGGGCCTGGGAAACCCTGTCTCCCCAGGCTCTGTGGCAGGATCCCTGTCCCCACTCCCTGGGAGTCCAGCCCTGTGGCGCCTCCTCCCCCTTCTCACCAATGAGCATGAGCTGGCGGGGGGGGGGGGGAGGTGGCTGCCTATGGGGCACGATCAGTCATTTCGCTCTTTTGTGCCTCAGTTTCCTTACCTGTAAACAGGGGACCATAAGCTGCTTTGGTCTTCCCCACATTCCTTTGGAGGATGAGGGGGGAGGGGTGGACTCTAGACAATCATTTCACCCACACCCTTGTGCCCAGTAGGAACCTGCCCTTCTATTTCTGGAACTGACCTCACAGAGCTGCGGCTGTGGCCAGAGGAGCCCCACAGTCTGTCTCTAGAGATGGCCCCAGCTCACCTGGACACCAGTTCACCTGGCCCAGGATTTGGGGAAGGGCAGAGTCCCTAACGACCAGAGTCCCCTCCATTCCACATAGCTGAGGGAAGGGCCCCAAGGGAGCCACATGTGGAGTCTGGGGGTCTGGGGGCCCTTTCAGCCAGTTCCAGGGGAGGAGAGAGAGGCCAGTGGGGATGGGCTGGGCGGGAGCAGCCTCGCAGTGGGGAGCAAGGAGGGAGGGGGACTGGAGCCCTGGGACACCTTCCTCCCCCTCAGTTGAGCTGGGCCCACAGGTACATGTGGCTCCCGGGGAACAGCCCGGTCCCAGGTCCCAGGCCAGCTGGAGCCTCGTGGGGGGGGGTGGCAGTGGGGATCGGGGGTGTGGGGAGTGAGGGGTTGGGGGCAGGGGGTGCTGGGGCCGGCGCGCCCCTCCGCCTTGGTACTGCCTGCGGGGAGTGAAGGCACTGAGAACCAGGTGGAAGCTTCAGATTGCTCGGGCCAGGCTGAACTGATGGACCTAAAGACATGAAAGGCTGGGGTACCAGGACCCCAGCCTGGCTGCAGCTGCGGCGGATGGGGGCCCTTGGAGCTGGGGGCAGTGGTGAGGACCCCAGAGCCCCTGCACTGCCCCCCCCCCACTTGGGCTGGTGGAGCTCCAGGAGGAAAGAGGAACAGGACTCAAACGGGGTGGGAAGGGGCAGGAGGTCACCGGCTCCCACTACCACCAAGGGTTCCACTTCAGGAACTTCCCCATCCTCCCCCCCTGCAGGAAAATCCCCTTAGAGGAAGGATCTAACCCCAGTGGAGGAGTCAGTCACCAGGCTCAGGGCACAGAGGGGACAGCCTGGAGAGGGCGTAGCCACCTGCTCTCAGGTCGTACATGGACACGGGGCCTGGTGTGAAGGGGAAGGGAGTCCGTAGTCAGGGCACAAGCACTGATGGGGCCCTCCAACCCTCCCCAATCCCTGCTGGGGGGGGCAGTGGGGAGAGTTGGCCAAGGCCGCCCAGAAGGACTGACATTCCCAGAGGCCCACAAAAAACACAGAGCAAGCAAACAAACAGTTCAGGTCCAAGGGCAGTGGGGTGATGGGGTGGGAGTGACTCAGTAGAGATTAAGGTGGGGCAGCTCCGGCTGTGGCCATGGGGAGTGCTCACGCAGGAGGAGACCGTTGGTTTCGGACCCCAGACTTGACAAGACCACTTACACAGACCTGGACAGAGCAGTGCAGGAGAGGGAACAGCAGGGAGGCAAAGGGTGGGGGTGGGGGTGGTGCTGGAAGGGCTCCGGTTCTAGGGCAAGAGCTCCAGGGTTGGGTGGGTGAAGGTGGGAAGCGGGGCCAGATCCCACCAAAGAGGCAGGGGTGTGAGAACCTTAGTTGGGGCTGGGAGTTGGGGTCACTCCCGCTGTAAAAGCATTGAGGATTTTGAAGCGGCAGTTGGGACTGATGTGATGCATGACTCCGAAAGACCCCTCTGGCTGCTGCCTGGAGAATGGAGGGCTGAGGGGAGGCCAGGAGACCCTTTAAGGGGTGCTGGGGTTGCCTGGGGGAGAGATGATGTTGTCAGTGAGGGCTGCGATGTGGAGGGAGATGGGGTTAGCTCTGGAGCGGGGTGTGAGAGAAGAGCAAGTTCCTGAACCATCAGAAAGCCCCTAACCAAGCCAGGGGGACAGTGGTGCCACCTCCCAGATGAGGAAGGCCTGAGGGGAGCGGGAGGAGGCCTTGGGGGAGAGATTTGGGGAGTGAAGTTTGAGAGGTCTGCAGAAAGAGTGTGTCTCAGTAGATTGTCCAAAACCCAAGTGGGTGACAACACTCTGCGTGGCGAGGTTGACAGCCATTGGCCACTCCCACTAGCTATGCTGGGAGGATCATTTTACCCCCACGGAGGGCCGTCTGGCAACATGGGTCAAGTCAACAAAAACTCTGTGAACCAGCCATTCCCCTTCCAGGAATGAATCTTTTTTTTTTTTTTAAAGATTTTATTTATTTGTCAAGAGAGAGAAAGCACAAGCAGAGGGAGCGGCAGGCAGAAGGAGAGAGAGAAGCAGGCTCCTCTCTGAGCAGGGAGCCCGAGGCGGGGCTCAATCCCAGGACCCTAAGATCATGACCTGAGCCGAAGGCAGATGCTTAACGACTGAGCCGCCCAGGTGCCCCTCCAGGAATGAATCTTTTTTTTAAAGATTTTATTTATTTGTCAGAGAGAGAGAAAGCACAAGCAGAGAGAGAGGCAGAGGGAGAGAGAGAAGCAGGCTTTCCGCTGAGCAGGGAGCCTGATGC